TGATCCGGGCCTGGACCAAATTGGGTGTCTACAAGCATGGCAGATTCTTAACAAAGGTTAGTGTGACTCCAGAGAAAATGTTTAAGGCCTTAAGTTGATTTATTTCTAACAATGACATGAAGGGGTTCCTTTCTGATCAAGGTAAGTTTGTATATTTGCATGCATTTTTTAATTTTTTTTTCACTTGTTAGTTTTCCATATGTAATTGATTTATCTTATCTAACATTCTAACCTAAACAATTTTGAGAGAGGTTGGCTAATTAAGAACAATTAATTGATAGAGTCTCTGGATATCAAAAGGAGATAATAAAAAAGATTTCTCATAAGCGTAAAAGAATAGTCCAAAATAGTATCTTAGACAGATATAAAAATCTTGATTTCGCTTGATTTTGAACAAAAATATCAAGACCTTCTTTCCCTTCTCTCATGGCTATGTACCAAAAAAAAATCCAAAACAGAGGTCTTAAGACCCAAAACTAAACATAATAACGAACCCCTAAAAGATAAACTTCCTAGGCTATATTACTTATTAGATAACCAAAGCAAAACAACCATCAATACAAATGGAAATAGAAGCAAAAAAGTTTCATCTTCATTAAAGGTTCGTTTATATGAGTGATGAGATTGGTTTTGATAAAATTGAAAATAGTGATGAAAGTGAGATTAGCACCAATAATGGTAAAATTAAAATCAATGATGAACTAATTCCCTCAATTTGACTTTTGATGTTCTCTCTAAATGCAGCACTTTCTCCACATTTGGGCTTTAAAGTCCTTTAATTGACTTTTGCTCCCGATCAAGTGCTTTAAGCATTCACTATCAAAGTACCATTAATTATTCTTGCTTGAATTTACCTAGTAGCAACGCTTCTACACCTATAAATGAACAATTAAAGTTTAGTTTTGAATACCAAAATTTTCTCGAGTCGTTTATGTTAGTATTCACAATTTGAGAATCCACTTTATTTTAATAATCTCTCTTGAAATGTGCCAATTCTTTTTGAAATTCACACACTTCTAATGAGTTTACCTTTATGAGTGATTTTTTTTTAAAGAACAATATTACATAGAATGACTTAATTTATGATAATATAAACATACACTAAATGCTTCACTTGAATTACTTGCTTTAATAAGAAAATTCTTTAAAGATGTCTCAAGTAGGTTGTTTGTTGCTAAAAGTATGCATTTGAGTGGGTAAGTGGCTAGTATCTAAGGACTAGTGATTTAGTGGTTTGCTTTAAATGATACTTTTTGTTGGTGCCTTATACATTCTTAAGAATTTCTTTTACGTAACAGTAAAAGATTTTCAAAGTTCAACATCATGATTGTCCGATTGTTCATTTTTGGGCATTGTCTCCTTATGCCTATTTTTGTAATTCTTTCTTGGCTAAAGTTTGCCAATATTTTTGTTAATAAAAAACATTTTATTTCACTATTTGTGTGTCTCTCCTGTTGACTGTTTCCCAACCATTCTTATTCTTTTCTTCTTAATACCTTACAATGGAAGAAATGTGCAAATGCATTCTTACTTTTGAGTTTGAAATAATGATTGATAAATGAACAATGGCATAAAAGATTTTACATTACATTGAAAAAGTCAAGAGTGATAAAGGTAAAATCGAGATGTTCAGTTCTTGATAAGGACATTGAATTTGGAAAAAAATTTCTTACAGAAAGAATGTGCAAATTAAATGGAAGAGATGATTGAGAGTTACACTGGCTCGATCTTAGAAGAATAGTGTAACTTGGTCTTTGAAGAATCAAGGGTTCGAGGCCCAAGAAAAGGGCTTGAAAAACTTGAGTACCACAATTAAATAAGAATTAATTAGCCAACATTTGCATAGCATGTATTGAATTTCACACGCATTGCATAGCATATACTACATTCAAGAAAATATAGTGCATAAATTCAAGAAATAGAGGTATTCCAAAATCTCACATAGAGAAGACAAATGTGAAGACATTTTCAAATTTGAGAAAAAGCTTGTCAGGTAAATTTCTAATCCTTGAAATAGGATATCTCTTGGTATGAGGATTGATTTGTAAGACCTTTAGGCATAATCTCCTGAAATTCCTTCAAATACGATTTTTAACTCCTTTGGACATGATTGTCAAGGGGCATTTACTTTCAAAGTTGTGGTATCTCTGTTTAGAGGAGCTTTGTTTATTTTTCAAAAGTTGTGGTGCCTCTGTTTAGAAGAGCTTTATTTATTATTCAAAGTCGTTGAACCTCTGATTATAGGAGCTTTTTATTTTTCAAAGTCTTTGAGCCTTTGTTTAGAGGAGCCATTTATTTTTCAAAGTCGTTGAGCCTCTATTTAGAGGAGCCATTTATTTTCCAAAGTCATTGAGCCTCTGATTAGAGGAGCTTTGTTTATGTTTCTCAAAGTCGTTGAGCCTCTGCTTAAAGAAGCTTTGATCAAAATTTTAACACAAAAAAAAGGTCGAATGGAGTCTTGAATGTGTGCCTACGTCTTAGCGCAATTTCTATTTCACAGAAAATGAGCAAAGAGGGGCAGTTGTAGACACTCAATTTAGTCCAAGCTCGGATCAGTTGGGCTTGATCGAAATAGGTAAATCCATTTGCATTTTTATTTTTATTTATTTATTTATTATTACTATTATTATTTATTAATATATATTTTTTATTATTTATCTATTAACATATTTTATTATTTATCTATTAATATATATTTTTTATTATTACTTATCTATTCATATATTATTATTTATCTATTAATATATATATTTATTTTTATCCTTGCGGCTGGGATTAGGGTAAAAAAAATTTTTAGAATTCTACCATGAATTTAGGATTCAATCAGAATCTGGATTGGATTCAAAGATTGAATCCCAATCCAAGATGAAATTGGGATTGATCAGAAACTTTTCTGATCAATCCCTGTAAATAGATCCATAAATCACAAAGAAAAAACACAGAAACACACATGAAGAAAAAGCAAAAAAAAAAAAGAAAAAAGGGTGTTCAAAAGGGTCAAAAGCAATTTCAGATTTGTTTTAAAAATTTTGGAGAATTTTAAGCGAATTTTTTTCTGAAAATTTTTGAAAAATTTCTAGATTCCGATGAATTTTTCGGCACTGATTGAATTTTTTGACCAACTACCCAGTTTTTGATGTACTATTTCCAAAAATCGATCAACTTTTCGGTGAACTTCAGACGAACAACCCAAATTCTGATAATATTTTTTAGAATCTGATGAGATTCAACTGATGTTCTTAATTTTTTTAAAGAGAAGGAAGAGAAAAATGGGGAGAAAAGAGAGAAGGAAAGAAGCACTCTACAAAAAAACAGAGGTTGAAGCCTTTTATAGTGCCGTAAAACGTCATTTTAGCGTTAGTAAACCCACAGGATCTGCGCATTTTGCCAAAATTTGACCCTACCCGATCGCGACCCAGTCCAACGACCCGCATATTAAGCTTCCTCTGGAGCCAAGCCGAGCTGCGCGCTCGCGAGCCTTGTTCTTCGAGCCATTTTTTTCTTCCTCGAGCCGATCCCAGCCACTCAAGCAAAGCATCGTTAAGGTTTTTTTTTTATATATATATATATTTTTATTTTATTTATTATTATTATTATTTATTGATTATATTAGAATTATTTAGTATTCCTTATTTTATTTTATTTTTATTTTTACTTTACTTTATTTTATTTTATTTTTTTGATTGCCTTTACATAAAATTCCAAAAAAAATATTTTTGAGGAAAAGTTAAAAGTATCAATTTTTCTTGAAAATAAGTTTTCTAAAAAATATTTTCGAGAAAAAGTTGAAAGTATCAATTTTCCTTGAAAATAAGTTTTTCTAAAAAATATTTTCGAAGAAAAGTTGAAAGTATCAATTTTCTTTGAAAATAATTTTATAAAAAAGGGTGTTTTTGAGAAAAAGTTGAAAGTATCAATTTTTCTTGTACAAAAGCAATGAGTTTTTTAAGAGAAAAAGATTTATATTTAAAGCTGAATCATTTTTTTCTTTTTTTTTTTGTTTCTTGAATTTTTTTTAATATTAAATAATCCGACGATAGAGCCTCTGCAAGTATCAATTTAAGTATCAATTTTTCTTGTATAAAAACAATGAGTTTTTGAAGAGAAAAAGATTTATATCTAAAGCTGAATCATATTTTTTTCTTTCATTTTATTTCTTTTCCTTTTTGTTTCTTGAATTTTTTTTAATGTTAAATAATCCGACAATAGAGCCTCTGCAAGAATCAATTTTTCTTATACAAAAAACATTGAGTTTTTGAAGAAAAAAATTTATATCTAAAGCTGAATCATTTTTTTTTCTTCTTTCATTTTATTTCTTTTCCTTTTTGTTTCTTGAATTTTTTTTTAATGTTAAATAATCCAATGATAGAGCCTCTGCAAGTGAAATAGTAGTTTCCTTGCATACTCTTGAGGTGAGAAAGTTTTCTCAATTTTTTTGCTAAAAGTATTAGAGTCAATTGAGAATAATTTTCAATAGTTAATTACTTGATAAATTTTTAAGGCTTATTGGATGACATGAAATTAAGCTGGTACCATCTTTCAATGGACGTTGTGAGGGTGCTATAACCTTCCTCACTCGTAACCGAACTCTTGAACCTTGTTCTAGTTGATAGACTTGAACCTATTCTTTTACGGACCTTTAAGCTTAGGCGTTCCTTGAAAAGATAGATTCCTTAGGTGACCAATCGCACCTAAACAAAAAAGATCGGTGACGACTCCTTAAGTCAATGTCTAGCGATAGATCCTTCGATCTATATGTTATGACATACAATAAGCCATGGTAGAATGGAGGAGGAGGTTGTGACCTATGAGAGACTTTGGGGTGAAACAATTTTGAGGTCTTGGGAGAGGCTTTGGAGTTCACCTTATTTTGTGCTAATGTTAAGCTTTGGAAACAATTTAAGTTTTCAAATCCTTTGTAATCTTTGCCTTGTTTTTTTGTTATACAAGAGGTTTGTTTTTGCTATAGAATAAATTTCTTTGGAACTGCATATACATACCTTGGTCAGAGAGGGACCCTTCCATGTCATTCCAAAAAAGCTTGAGAAATTTGAGGGAGGGCAAAAATTCCAATAACCTCATAATATCTTTGTTGAAGTAGTTGTAACTCAGATCCAAGTACTCCAACTTTCTTAGTTTGGATAACTTTTTTAAATCTAAGAAATTGTAAAGAATGACACTCAACTATCATCATACCATAATTTATTTGAATAATTAAAAAATAAAAGGTAGAAATAATAGAGCATTGAAGAGAAAAAATCGAGGAAAATGAAAAATTAATATATTGCAATAACTATATTATATATATGGCTTTAAAATACTTTAAATATATTATTTATGTTAAATTTTGTTAATTATTTAAATATATCAATTTTTTATTTTAAAACAATACAACACATATCCAAAAATTATTATTTAATATTATTATTTATTATTAATATGATATTAATAACAAATACTAGACATACATTGGACAAGAAAGGATCCTTCCATGTGATTGTCACTTAGACTCAACTTCTTAAGAGACGTGAGTGCACTTAAGGACCACAAAGTGTTATTTGAAAAGTAGTTACTAGAAAGATCCAAAGTCTCAAGCTTTTGCAGTCTCAACAAGCCATTAGAACCTGTAATTATGTATATGTATAATTATAATTATCAAATTAACTAGTCAAATAAATTTAAAAAATATTATTGCATTGTAGCAATTTATTAATTAATGTACATATATTTATTCAGCAGGGTATATGTTATATAGCATTTAGCAACATCCCTTCCTTTTGAATCATATTAATCCAATACGAACTTAAATTGAGAATCCTTAACTCTTTAAATGGTTGGAATTATCGTAATGATTTTATGTCCGTCCATCGAATTTGAAAACGAAATAAAAAATAATAGAGTCGCCACCAATCTTTTTTGATTAGGTGTAATTGACCACCTATTAAAATATATCTTTTTAATGCAATCTTAAAATTAATTAAAATTTATTAAAAAAATAATTTTAGGGTCTGCACAGCAGTTTGAGTTCGAGAGTCGGTTACGTATGAAGAAGGATTAGCACCCTCACAATGCCCGTTTAAAATGGTACCAATTAACTACATTTTATCCTTTGATTTTGATAAAAAATCCTATTTTCGGTGTTTGAAAAATAATTTTTTTGATTTTTTATTTAATAAAAATTATTTTTTTATATTTGAGAAAAATAAATTAGAACCTTTTTATTAAAATAACACTTAAAATGTTCCAGTACGTTGATAACATTAGAAGAATTTTTTCTCACCTAAAGATTTCTTAGGCATCGCTTCTCGGAATACTTTAAAATCTTATCCTCGTATGCTCAAATTTACTTTTCGTAAAAAAGTCATGCATGCAATGTAGAATATTACCATGTTGATTCACATGTTTTATTTTTTTTAAAAAAAAATTTATTAATTATTTTATTAATTTTTTTAATTTAAATTGAAATTTTGAAAAAAAAAATTTATTATGATGAAGATTTTTTTAAAATATTTCAATACACTAGTAATATTAAAAAAAAATTTTCTCAACTAGGGATTTCATAAAACATCATTACTCATAATACTTTTAGAATCCCATCATTAGATAAAATTTCCTTTTCCTTATTTATATTATTATTTTTTAATATATTAATTAATTTTTACTTATTATTTTATAAGAAAAAAAATTTTATTGTATTGAAATTTTTTTTATAAATACTCTAATACACTGATAATATTTTAAAAAAGATCTCACCTAGAGATTTCGTAGATATCACTACTCGGAGTACCTCTGAATCTCATCGTCGGATAAAATTTTTTTTCTTATTTTTTGTATTATTATTAAATTTATTTTTTTATTTTTAAAGTTTATTTTAAAAATTAACAAAATTTAAAAAAATTTACTAAATATTTCATCACTTAATCTAATAAATATAAATATTTTAACATGCATAAATATTAATAAAATAATATATAAAAATTCAAAAAAAATTTTTTTTATCTGAATCGGATTTTTCAATGGTTCGGTCAATGCAGGTATGGTCAGATTGACGGTTCGATCTGACGTTAGTGATTCGATTTGGTTAGAGCGGTTAGGTTTAGCGGTTTAGGAATGGTTCAGTTCGATCTAAATTGGGCTAGCTGGACCAGTCAAAGGCTAAAAGAGAAACGGATCGTCAGATAGGGTGCGCGGATCCCAGGTCAAGTCACGGGTTAACGCGATGATCTTCAGGGCTTAAAACGACATAGTTTTGGACATTTATTGAAACAACATCATTTCAATACTAACCGTCTATATAAAAGGTCCAATTTTTTTCAGTTATTCTTTTCTCTTCCAAAAAAAAAAACTTCTCCCTTAGTCTCTCAACAAAAACCCAATGGGACCAACCGATCATCGTCATCGCACATGTGATCGAAAAATCTCAAAAATCACCCACAAACTTTTCTCGAACCCTTGAACATAGATTTGAAATTCTTTTTAGCAAAAAGAGTAACCAATTTCCTAGATTTGCTTTCTAAATTTTGGCTAAAACCTTTTCCCTTTTTTTTTTTATTCTGACTCATTTTTTTTACAAGTATTATTTTTTGGCGTGGGATTCCCCATTCTAGGGGACTGTTTTTTATTTTTTTTTTTTGCATAATGGTTTTTTTTATCTGGTAAAACTTTTTTTTAATCTATTTTTTTTAAAAGCTTTTTTTTTATCCTCCTCTTTCTTGTAGATAACAAGCTCTATTTATATAACTTTCTGAGATTCAAATCCCAGATTTTCTGAGATTCGAATCTCATTTTTCAACCTAAAATCCATGTTGTCAATTTAGGTAGCGTGCTTGCCGGTGGTAGCAACCGCTGTCATTTTGAACTTTGGTGGTAGTGTATTTAATGCACTAGATCTTGTCAAGCTGAATCGAATAAGAAAAAAAAAGAAAAAAATAATAAAAAAAGAAAAGATAATAATTAAAATATGATATTTATATTATGAAATTTAATTTAGTATTTAAATTTCAAAAGGTTCTAATGTGATATTTGAATTATAAATTTATTAACTAATGTGATACACACCTTTAATGTAATTACTCTTAAATTATATATGTGATAGATAAATAATCTTTTAAATATCATATTAATTAATATATTTATAATTTAAATACTACATTAAATATTTTATTATAATTTAAAAATAATTTATAACATTAATAATTTTTTATAAGATTATAAACATTTTATAATGAAAATTTTATTTTTTTGAAAAGTTAGCTATCACTATGCATTTAAGTAGCTTTGCATAATATCATGTATCAAAAGAAACATTGCAGAGTTTTTTAGCAACGTGCATATATCACGGGTCGAGGCTTAAACTCCGTACCCGCACGGCTCCGGGACCTGAGCATTCACCTTTTCGACATCCCAGATCAGCCTTCCTGTCACGGTTCACACCCTTGTCAGGTATTGTCTGCTTTGGCCCCCCTGGCCTCATGGTTTTGTCCTACAAAAGGTGCCTCACAAGGCGGAGGTGGTGTGAACCCTTATATACCCCAGTGACCCTCCTATTATGTTCGATGTGGGATTCAGGACTCTTCCTTAGGTCTGTGACATTCTCCCGCACCCAACCTCGTGACGTCCTCGTCACGAAGGCTGACCACCCTGCCTGCCTCCCTTGAGGTGCTTGACGTGGATCGAACGGTTTAAGGCTGGCTCTGATACCACTTGTCATGGGTCGAGACTTAAGCTCCGAACTCGCGTGACTCTGAGACCTGGACATCCACTCATTCGATATCTCGGATCAGCCTGACCGTCACGGTTCACACCCTTGTGAGGTATTATCCGCTCTGGCCCCCATAGCCTCACGGTTTTGTCCTACAAAAGGCACCTCACAAGGCGGAGGTGGTGTGAACCCTTATATACCCTAGTGACCCTCCTATCATGTTCGATGTGGGATTCAGGACTCTTCCTTAGGTCAGTGACACATAGACATGCATTCGCATGTCAAAATTTTTTTATCATACAATTTGTAGCAATATTAATTAATCTCAAGAAACAAAATATTTATAAAAGACATGTCGAAAAATGTACAAATTGTATTTGAAATTCCAAAATTTTTATCCATTTTCATTGGTTACATGTCAAACGATATATATATATATATATGTAGCCAACTTTCTTTTTTTATTAGTAAATTAAGTTTTAGAAAAATCTTTGAATTTTTACTTAATCATTTAAAATATCCAAAAAATTTAAAATCTATAATTTTTATTAAAAATTTAAAAAATATGAATTTTTATTAAAATTCAAAATTGCTTTAAAAAATTTTATAAATGTCAAAAATATTTAAAATATTGAAATCTTTTAAAAACAATTAAAATTTGAATTTTTAATACAAAATTTTTAAAAAATTTTTTTAAAAAAGGGAAAGAATAGAGGAGAGAAAAGAAGGGAAGGATTGAACAGGAGGAAAGAAAAGGGAAGGAGAAGGGGCATGGGACCGTTAGAGTCGATCGAATATCCTAGTGTAGATCGGCCTTGATTTGTTTTAGATCAATGTAGTATAATAGATTTTTATAAATTAAAGATTTTATTTTGTAAAAATTATTTTTTTATTTTTTTATTTATTCAAATTTTAACATTTTATTTAAATCAAAATATTTAGTTTTTTGTTTTGATTTTTGGAAAATTTTTATAAAATTTTTCATATTTTTTAGAAATTTTAACATTTTTTTTTTTTTTTACCATAGCAATGAATGATTTGGTGATAACTAAAGATTTTTTACATGTGTTAGGATTTTATTAGATGTTTCATCTATGATAACTGCTTAATTAACGAAAATAGTCCAAAGACCAAAATGTTTAATGGAATGCAAGTTCAAATTTTTAATTACAATTTTGTATTTTTAACTACTAAATTATCAGAAAATGTAATGTACAGGAGCTAAATGAATGTTTAATCCTTTCTCAAATTCATATTTTCAGCAGCAAATAATGTTTAAGAAAAAAAATTACGTAAAAATTTAATGAATAAAACCAAAGCCAAAGTCTGCAAACCTATCTTCCTTAAGTAGAAAGATCAAACTCAGCAAAGTAGAATAGAAACAAAAATGACCTTGGGAACAACAACTCAAGCATACAACAAGCCATGATAGAATGGAGGAGGAAGTTGTGACCTATGAGAGACTTTGGGTTTAAACAATTTCGAGGTCTTGGGAGAGGTTTTTGGAATTCACCTTATTTTGTGCTAATGTTAAGCTTTGGAAACAATTTAGGTATTCAAATCCTTTGTAATCTTTAACTTGGCTTTTTGTTATACAAGAGAGATTTGTTTTTGTTATAGATAAATTTCTTTGGAACTGCATATACATAAAGGGACCCTTCCATGCCATTTTCAGAAAGAGAGATTTGAGGGACGGTAGAAATACCAATAATCTCATAATATCTTTGTTGAATCTATTGAAACTCAGATCCAAGTACTCCAACTTTCTTAGTTTAGATAACCTTTTTAAATCTAAAAAATTGTAAAGAATGATTGTCAACACTCAACTATCATCATACCATACTTTATTTGAATAATTAGAGAAAGAAAAAGAGAAATAATAGAGCATTGAAGAGAAAAAAGCCAACCGAGGAAAATGCAAAATTCAAACTTGTTTAGAGATTACCCTGCATTGTTAGAGAACCTCTTGGATAGTTGCTGCTCAAATCCAAAAACTCCAAGTTTTCCAAAACAGATAATTCTGCACGAAAATAATATTCAATAACCAACAAGAATCCCATTCAAAACAACATTTGAATTAAATTTCAAACGGGGCTCTCTTCTCCTTTCAATAACAATAACAAAAAATAAATGCATTTGGTAATTTTTTATTTTAAAAAATAAAAGTAAAATAATGCTTTTAAAAACATTAGAGCTAATTGCAAGCTTGAAGTTGTTGCTCATGTTATCTTTTTCTAATTATTTTTAAGACTTTTGATATGTGGGTATTCTACGTGCCATATTGCACTTAACCTTTTCTTAATTAATACTAAAATAAAAATATAAAAAATTATTATTAGAAAATTATATTAAATATTTGACTACTTTTTTTTTCATAAGTATTTGACTAACACTTTAAAATAAATAATTAAACATGAAGAAATACTTGCATGAAATTTTATAGGTAGAGTTTGTGAAATTTTTTTATTAGAAACAAGTAAATAAAAACTAAAATTAAAAATCAAAATTGATAGATTGAAAGATTTCATCACATATATTAAATATGTAAATTTTGAAAAAAATTTAACAAATTTTGATATATTTATTAAATAAATATTTTTAGTAAAAATATTGATAGAATTTTTATTGTTGAATAAGTATTAATCAAATTTAAATTATAAATAATTATTTTATAATCATTTTTTATATATTATTAATTTTACATTAAGCTTTATTAAATTTTATTAATTCAGATTTTTTTTAATTATAGTTTTATTTATTTATTTTTGATGAAGAAAACATTCAACAAACTCCACCTATTAAACTTCATCATGTAAGTTATCCATTAAAACATTTTGTGTATAAACGTGATGTGTAGCGCATTTTATAAAAAAGTTAATAAATGCAAGAAATATAACTATATATTGGTTTTAAAAATACTTTTAAATATATTATTTATTTAAATTTTTGTAATTAATACTAAAATATAATAATGACAAGTTTTATTGTTAAAAATTATAAAATTATATTAAATCTTTGACTATACTTTTTATTCATAAGTATTTGACAACACTTTAAAATAACTAACTAAACATGTACGTAGTATATGCGGGTGTCTAGGCATTTATATGAAAGAAATTAACACATTCCAACAACTATATTATATATATATGGCTTTCAAATACTTTAAATATATTATTTATGGCAAATTTTGTTAATTATTTAAATATTCCATTGTTTTTAAATACAATACATATAAAAAATTTATTATTTAATATTATTTAGTAACTCTGTTATATCGTATTAAAAAAATCTTAATTTAATTACACTAAAAATCAAAACAAATTAATATTTAATATGATATTAATAACAAATATTAGACGTACCTTGGACAGGAAAGGATCCTTCCACGTAATTGTTACGTAGAATCAAATTTTTAAGTGATGTGAGAGCACTTAAGGACTGTAAAGAGTTATTTGAAAAAGAGTTACCAGAAAGATCCAAAGTCTCAAGCTTTTGCAGTCTCAACAAATCACTTAAACCTGTAACAAATAATATATATGTATAATTACAATTAGCAAATTAACTAGTCAAATAAATTTAAAAAATACAATGAAATTGTAGCAATTTGTTAATTAATGTACACATTCATTCAGCAAGATCTATGTTATATAGCATTTAGCAGCATACCTTCCTTCTGAATCAGATTAATCCCATACCAACTTAAATTGAGAATCCTTAACTCCTTAAATGGCTGGAATATAGATTGGTTAAGCATACATGGTAAGGGTTCTCCATAAATACTTTCGCCTACATTGCCAAGAGAAAGTTCAATGACATGACCCGTGGTGTTAGCGCACTTGACACTCTCCCAACGGCAACAGTCTGGATCATCTTCACCCCATGAAGGTCGAAGAAAATAGTCTGCATACCCATTTGATTGGAAGTATGCCTTGATTTTCAATAGACTCCTCCTCTCCTCTTCATAGCAAGCTTGATGCTCATGGAATTGGACCAACAACAATAATAAAAACAACTTACACATAGCCATTGATTTCTGTTTTGAAATCTGATGCTGCTACTGCACGAATGCACTCAAGCTAAGGTTTATATAAAAACATAAGATATACGTGCAATGCATCAATTGGCGTCAAGCCTCAAAACATACAGTAATCCGACCTTGCTTCACACGTTTGTCCTCTGCTCCGGGATATTTTCTTTCTTCTTAGTATTTATGGTGGGATTCCAAAAGTCTTCCTTTTCAGATTTTAAGGACATCCAAAGACAAATTAGTAAGTCCTTTCGTCTGTCATATTTATCGCTTTCATTTTAGTTCAAGTCTGCAACATTCATTTTAGTTCAAGTCTGCAACATTCATTGACTCGAGATGATGACTATGAACGCACCATGTTTGCGTGATAAATCAGTCAAGCGAGCCCAACTTACACCTAGCCATTAATTTCTGCCCGAAATTTGATGCTACAACTGCATGCGCTCAAGCTAAGCTTTATATGAATACATAAGATATACGTGCAACGCATCAATTGGCCTCAAGTTTCAACTTCAATATTGAGTTATCAAATTATACAGTAATAGGACCTTCTTCCACACGTTTACCCTCTGCTCCGGATATTTTCTTTCTTCTTACTAGAGTGGGATTCCAAAAGTTAAGTCCTTTTGCGTCTGCCAAAATGATTTCCACAGACATGATGCCATATTTTTCAAACTTTTTTATGACTCGAGATGATGACTTTGAACATACCAAAATTTACTCAAAGGAAACTCCTTCATAATTTACTCAAAAACAAGTTTCTGCATAGGTTCTTGGAGGAACGCACCCCAGAAGTAATGTCAATAAAACTTCATGTATTTACTTAAACTCATTTCAAAATAATTAATTCAATATTTTAATTAGCACAATTCACACTATACAAATTGTAATAACATAAATATTTCAAATTATGAAGAAAACATAAATTAAGGATAACTATTTATAATTGTACAATTATAATTTATAAGTTGTCCAAAAATATACAATTGTATTTTATACGTATTCCAAAAACTCATAGAACAAATGATTAATGAAGAAAAAAAATCAAATAAATATTTCAATCATGTCTTCCCTCATGCATATGTTTTCCACAACTCCCACTCGTCAAAAATTTCACAATCATTTTCCTACACAATTTAAAAGCAAAGATTCCATGGGGCTTGATCTGGGGCGTGATCCAGGGTGATTTAGGACCTAAAATACTAGTTGAAAACTAGTGTTTAGCCTTAAGAATCACATTGACACTACCAAAACTAGTTTCACTAGGGTAATTACACTCCTATTAATTATACATAGAAATAAATCTGAGGTTGGAGTTTAATCTAGCTGGTTTATCATAATGGAATTAGTAAATAGATAGAGAATTTAAATGTTTTTATTTATTTATTTTTGGATGAAAGAGAATTTAAGTGTTAATATTTTAGGATATATATTCTTTTGCATCTTGACATTTAATTTTACAGTCAAGTAATAATATATAAATTTCTTTATTTTATTTTTTTTAAAAGATATATTTTAGCATATATATATTAATATATTTGAAAATAATATACTAATAAAAAAGGCGAGTTAATAAAATTATAAAATAAAAATATTATTGTGACAATATTATATTTTTTAACAATAATAAGATTTACAATTAAAGGTAGAATTATTAATTACAAATTCTATAATTGAATTATAAATTTTTTTTTGATTTTTTGGCAATTAAAAATTGTAATAAAAAAGATGCACGAGTAATTAATTAGTAAATAATTTATCAAAACAAGAAAATTAAATGTATTTTAAAAAGAATGTAATAAAATTTTGAGATTAAAAATTAAGGTGCATTTCTATCGTTTCCTAAAGTAAACCTAACATGATTTTTTTGTTAAAAAAATACAACAACATAAAAATCTAAAATAAAAATAAAAGTGAAAAATGATATGGAGAAGTTGAAATAAGCTCAAAAAGAAAAGATATTGTAGGGCTTAATCAAAAAAAGAAAAGATATATGTTTTTTTTTTTTTTACAGACATGATGCTTTCTTTTTCAAGCTTTTTTATAATATTATTATTGACTCGAGATGATAACTTTGAACACACCAAGTTGATTGATAAAATAGTCAAGCTAGCTCAGCAATTCAAAGGAAACTCCTACGTAATTTACGCTAAAATAAGTTTCTACATAGGTTCCTCAAGGAACTTACCCGTAAATCGATGTCAATAGAACTTCATGTATTTCCTTAAACTCATTTGAAAATAATTAATTTAATATTTTAATTAACACAATTCACACTATATACATTGTAATAACATAAATATTTCGAATCATGAAGAGAACACAAATTAAGGGTAACAGTTGATAAGTGTAGAATTATAATTTATAAGCAGTCCAAACACGTACATCGAATGAATTACAAACAAGTTTTTTCTTTTTTCTCAATTCGTTACACTACCTTCTCCCATTCAAAGAGCAAATGTATAAAGAAAAAAAAAAAACATTGCAATCATGTCTTCCCACATGCTTATGTTTCCGCAACTCCGCCTGGAAAAAAATTCCACAATCATTTTCCTACGCAATTTAAAAGCTAAGATTCCATGGGAACAGATCTGGGGCGTGATACATGTTAATATAGGACTCAAAACACTCATTGAAAACTAGTTTTTAAACTTAAGAATCACATTGGCACTACCAAAACTAGTTTCACTTCGATAATTTCTGAGTTATATAGCACTTGCTGCACTCCTACTAATTAAATAAAGAAAGAAATCCGAAGTTGAAGTTTAATTCAACTGGTTTATCATAATGAAATTGGTAAATAGATAGAGAATATAAGTGTTTTTCTTTGCTTTTTTGGATGAAGGGGAATTTAAGTGTTAATATTTTTGGATATATATCTATTTTGTAGTGATAAATCTTAACATTTAGTTTTAGAATCAAATAATAATATTCAAAATACTTTATTTCATGTTTTTTTTTTTAAATATTTTATCATACTTAATAATATATATGAAAATAATATACTAATAAAAAAGTTAATAAAATTATAAAATAAAATTATTATTGTGACAATGTCGTAACGGTTTTGTGTCCGCCCGACGAATTTGGAAACGAAATAAAAAATAACAGAGTCGCCACCAATCTTTTTTGGCTAGGTGCGATTGGCCACCTATTAAAACATATCCTTTTAATGAAATCTTAAAATTAATTAAAATTTATTAAAAAGATAATTTTACAGTCTGCGAAACAGTCTGGGTTCGGGAGTCGATTACGCGTGGGGAAGGATTAGCACCCCCACAACGCCCGTTAAAAAACGGTACCAATTAACAACGTGTTATCCTTTGATTTTGATACAAACAGTCTTATTTTCAGTATTCGAAAAATAATTTCTTTGATTTTTTATTTATTAAAATTATTCTCGAGAAAAATAAATCAAAACCTTTTTATTGAAATAATTCTTAAAATGTTCCAGTACGTTGGTAACATTAAAAGAACTCTTTCTCACCTAGAGATTTCTTAAAGCATCTCTACTCGGAATACTTTTAGAATCTCATCTTTGGAGGTCTAAATTTACTTTTCGTAAGAAATTATGTTATGCATGCCATACAAAATATTTTCGTGTTTATGCACACATTTTATTCTCATTCAAAAATTTTATTAATTTTATTAATTTTATTAATTTTAATTAAAATTTTGAAGAAAAAAAGGAATTTAATCATATTGAAGATTTTCTATAAATATTCCAATACGCTGGTAATATTTTACAAAAAAAATCTTCTCACCTAGAGATTTCTTAAAGCATCTCTACTCGGAATACCTTTAGAATCTCATCATTGGATTAAATTTCTTTTCTTCTTATTTTTATTACTTATATTTTTAATTTATTAATCAATTTTTATTTATTAAAAAAAAGAAAATCTTTACTGTATTGAAAATTTTTTATAAATACTCCAATACGCTGGTAGTACTTAAAAAAAAATCTTCTCACCTAGAGATTTCGTAGGCATCACTACTCGGAATACCTTTGAATCTCATCATCGGATAAAAATTTCCTCTTCTCTTATTTTTTATTAGTTATATTTTAATTTATTAATCAATTTTTATTTATTATTTTTAAAAAAAGAAAATCTTTACTGTATTGAAAATTTTTTATAAATACTCCAATACGCTGGTAGTATTTTAAAAAAAATCTTCTCACCTAGAGATTTCGTAGGCATCACTACTCGGAATACCTTTGAATCTCATCGTCGGATAAAAATTTCCTTTTTCTTTCATTTTTTTACTACTTTAGTATTATTATTAAATTTATTTTTTTTGTTATTGTTTTTAAAGTTTATTCTAAAAATTAACATAATTATATAAAAAATTATTTAACCACAATTTCATTAATTAGTCTAACAAATATAGATATTTTAATATGCATAAATATTAATAAAATAATATATAAAAAATAAGAAAAATTCAAAAAAAAAAATTTTTTTTTACCTGAACCGGACCAGTCAACGGTCCGGTCAACTCCTGGTTCGGTTCGACGGTTCGGTTCGGTCTGGTTGGTTCGGTCCGGCGGTTCAGTTCGATCTGGTTGGTTTGGTCCGGCGGTTCGGTTCGGTCTAATCAGACCGGTCAGAGCTGATAAAGGCAGCGGGTCGCGGGTCGGGTGCGCGGACCCCGGGTCGGGTCGCGGGTTGACGCGCGGATCCTCCTTGGCTGAAACGGCGTCGTTTTGGGTCTTTATCTAAACGACGTCGTTTTGAGATTTTGCTTTACTATATATAGCTGAAGATTTTTTTTTGGTTCATTTGGCTTCTGTTTCAGAAAAAAAAAGGGAGAGAGGGAGAGAGGGAGAGAGAGAGCTCTGGGGGAGGGTCGCCGGTCGGTTGCCGGAGCACCGTGCCGGCCGCCGTCTGGCTCGCCGCCGGCAGTCTTGGACGGTGGTTTCCGATGACCGGGAAAAGTGAAAATTCTTCTGGAAGTTCTCTTCGACGCGATCTTTCCAGATCCGGTGTCCTTTTTACCGG